TTAAAAATTATTTATTATTGGTATATATATAAAACCAAACATAAAAAATGCACAACGCTTTTCAACCACAAAAAGGGTCTTCCTTAGGTGCTGCTGAATGTTTCACTGGTATAGACATGTTTTTATATACATATACATAAATTAAGCAATAAAGACAATTAACCACACATATTGCATCGGATACTCCTATTTCAATATATGGTCAAAACCGTATGCGCACTCTGCCACCCCCAAAATGGCAGCACTTCCGGTTCGGACATATTTCGCCACCATATTAGTGATCTTAAAAGCATAAAAATAAATACACAACAAAGGAATATCTATAAATGATAGATGATCCTATAAGTAAAGGAAACAGCCAAACATAATTGTAAAACATACTAATAAATCTTTCCACAAAGGTCTAAGGTAATAATAATCGTGCGTGTCTCCATCGCGTCATGTCCTGTAACTTATTCACTTCCGGTTTAGTACTTCGTCACATCATTTCTGGTGATATCAGTTCCGTGTTCTTTGTCGGCTGTATCACATCCGGCGGGTGCCGGCATAGTCCACAAGACAGTGCACGTATAAATATACGTGTTCGAGGTCACAGGCGCCATTTTTAGAATGGTATAAAGTCCCAAACATATGTATAAAGATAGAAACTGAAAGACAAAAAACAGTAATTAAAATTATTAAAATTGTATTAAAAAATGTATGAGGGTTATATGAAGAGAGTATATATCAACAAAATGAATTTTGTGGAGGAGAATATTAAACATAAAAACCCAAAAATAATAAAAACCAACTGATAAAACAAATATGTGAAGAAATACTTTTAAACAGTTTTAAGAGGTTTTAAAAGAAAGGTTTTTAAAAGAAGTTTCAAAAGGGAAAGGGGGGAGAAGGATAATAGAGCCTTTTATAAAATTCAAATCCCTATAAAAAATGTTTTATAAAATAGTATTGATCTCAAAATCAATATTAATCCTTTAGGAGTAAGAGTATGTAACTCAAATATCCATGTTGACTCCTAGATACTTAACATCTTAGCAATATCTCCTCCCCTCCAATGAATATTGACCTTATCAATGTCACAAAATTCAAGATGGCTTGGGATAGACATATGATGTTCCAAAAAATGCCTGGATACGCTATGATTTAAATAACCTTTTCTAATGTTTCTGACATGTTCACTTATTCTAACTTTTAGTGGTCTAGATGTCTTGCCTACATATTGTACGCCACAGCTACACCACAGTAAATAGATGACATTATAAGAGTGACATGTAATAAGAGATTTCATTTAATATTCTTTTTTAGTAATGGCGGAATAGAAATTCAAAACTTTTTTGTTTGATATTGTGGTGTTGCGGCAAGAATTACATACCCCAGAATGAAAAAATCCCTTTTGTTCTTGTGACCGGTATGTTAAAAAGTTTTTTGGAACTTCGTCCTTTATAAAACTTTTGGTTAAATTTTGTTTTACATTTTTTGTGCCTCTAAAAATAAATGTAGGTTTTTGGCCAATATATTCTCGTATATCTTCCTCTTGTTGGAGGATATGTCAGTTTACGTTAATCACTTTTTTAACAGTGCCAATATTGCTTGAAAAAAATAAAAGGAATTTGTTCACTTTTTTCAACTTATCTTTCTTCTTATATTGAAGTAAGGAGGAGCTATCTATATTAGCAACTGTGTTAATACCATTTTGGAGATCCTGACGGTTATATCCCTGATGTTCAGGATGATTCTTAAAGATAGCTGATTAAGTAGTTTAATGCTTCTAGTTGGTACAGTTCCTGCGTATATCGCAATGATAACCCCAAACCCAAAGAGTGATGGATCATTATTTGACATTCCAGGAGTATGGGCAGAAAATAATCCTCCAGAACTCGCCCATAATATTTCACCTATACATGTTGAATTAAAGCTTGGAGCTTATCCTGTTAGCCTTTGTCAGTACCATATACCACAGAAGGTGAAGAAAAACATACAGACGTACTTGGACAAGTTTGTGAACTGTAAAGGTGGTGGAAGTGACTCCCTGGAGTCATCTCTCTAAGGTTAAAACCAGCGCCAGATTCTTGTCAAGCTACCCCAGATCCTGAGAATCCTTGTAAAATCCGGTTGAAGCGAACTGCACAGTCCCTGAAGCTTGATTAAAGTGACATAAGGAAGTACGAGACGATTTTCAAAAATCGTGGTTGAGAGCAGCAAGTAGGTGTTTTGACAGCCATAGTAAAGCCTGACCACCTACCAACGTTTCATAGCCAGAGTGTCTCGAAGGGACCTCTGTGAAGGGAAGAGAGGATCAGACGAACAACATTCCTTGCAGCCCTCACAAGCGGAAAGCCTAGGTGCTGTTGCATGGTTGAAAATGTGATGAAGCCTTCCATCATAATGTATTTCTTTGTGTGTTTTAGTGTCTTTATTATATATATACGAAATGCAAAGGTGATGACATACAAGGCTGTGATAGTTGTATTAAGACTACAAGAACAGGTAACCAGATATCCCAAACTCTTATTTGGCACTCACATTATGAATGTAAAGGATCTGTCTCTAAATGCAGATACTTAGAAACTGATTATAGTGTGTGTCAGCCAGTTTCAGGTGAACTAAAGTGCTTTGATCCCCAATTCCAACCTCGTACAATTTGGTTGGTTCTTCGAAATGCCTACCCTCAGGGGGCATTGATAAATAAAACTTTTGTTAAGTACCACCTCTTCCCTAGGCATCCCACTATGCGATGCATGCAAAGCGATTTCTGGTAGTAGAAAACCTTGGAGCATATGTGGTAATTTTAAGTGGGAACGAGCATATGGTTTAATGATAAATACCTATGTCCTAGTAGAAGAACTACTGACCCTGATTGTCCAAATAGGGACTTCAACTTTTTCCCATGTTGGTCATGTGAAGGTTGTGCGACTTAGCGAAAAACAGTAGACCAAGACCTGATAATTCAAAGGATAGCTACTACTCCTCATTGTAAATCAATGGAGTGTAATCCTGTACTCATGAATACAGCAATTTATTAATAAGTTTGGGAATATTTTCGGTTTCCAAATATATGGTACAGGGACAGACCCAGGAGCCATCCTATATAAAGGCCTTGAAACCGAGATCCTGAATTCCCAAACTCATCAGGTATTCCATTACTTTTATGAGGAGATGAGTTTTGAAGATGAAGTTCCCCACACTGTTAAGAACCTGTTCATCAATCTGGCTGAGAGTATTGCAAGTAGTCTTAGTATAACTTATTGCTTTGTATGTGGAGGTACAAATATGGGACACCAATGGCCATGGGAAGCAAGAGAAGTATGGTACCCTTGTTCTGAGACAAATGAGCAACAGATGCCTTCCCATTCCAGAAATTAAGCAACCATACGGGAAAAATCACCTTTCAGAGTTTAATTTTTAATTTAGTGAATAAACCCTCCCCAACCTATTATGAGGGTTCTTTACTCCTTTATTCCTCGTATCAGGGTATTCATGGCCTTGATGTAATATTTTTGGCTAAGCTTTTCAAATGATTTTATATTTTTGGATAAACCTTTAAAAAAAAATTAAAAATATTAAAATATTGAAAATATATCATATTTAATATAAAAAAAATGAAAACAGTTTTCAATGTATAAAATAGTTTTAATAGCTTTGCCAAAAAAATTTTTAAAACCTATCCAAAAATATTATATTGAGGCCTACATCCTTCTGTCTGTAAACCCACCTATATGTTTGCTTAATTTTTAGTGCTCTCTATTGTAAAAATAATATATATGAACTGAAATATATATATAAATAGTCATGCGCAGAGGGGGTGCTCTCTCAGATATTATATCACTAAAATTATAAGGAATTTGCTTAACTCTTAGACAAGGGCGAGCAGGACTCTACATGGTACAAATTAAAGTTTGTCTTATATAATAAATATGTGCACCTGACATTTATAATCTTTACCACAATATAAAAGTGACTGATCTTTGCTTGTACAATGAAACAGCTTTTTATGTGTGATCTGCTTGCAGTTTATGTAGTGTGACATAGACCCATCACGAAGCTAGTCCCATAAGGCATCTGAGCACATGTATCTCTATTGATTTTTAATTGATTGTAACTTATTATACAATACATCATAACAGCAACTGTCAGCTTAGTTATGGGAAATCAATTATGTTCCCAAATAAACGTTAACGTTATGTGAAATCATTGCTGTATTTGAATGAACATCAAAACCTTGATGGGAGACCTGTGAAGCCCTGAGAAACAGACCTGTGAACAGCAAATAATGTTAACACAAAAGGTGTTAAAAGATAAAAAAAAAGACAGGAAGGAATGAGCGTGCCAGAAAAAAAAGAGAAAAAGTATAGCACAGTAAAATGCACACACAACATTGTGTCATTTTGCAGACAGACTGCTCAGCAAGATTAGAACAAATGTAGCGGCGACTCATACATACAGTAATATTTCCTACACATAATTATTCACCAATACCAATTTATTTACTAAACACAGAATTAAAATGCTGGAAGCAAAGCTGGTTTGAGACTATTCTTTAAATGTACACTATAGGGTCAGGAATGCAAACATGTACTCCTGACCCTATAGTGCTAAAAACACATTTTAGGGGGGCGGGGCCTGACAGCAGAGCTAGCCGGACGTGCATGCAGAGAACTCTGACACAAACGAGATTAAAATTGGCTATTACTGGCCAAAACCTTGAATTTAGCAGTCCTGCTCAATGAAAAATCATCACTAGACTGCGTGGAGGCTCGTGGACATCTGTTTTGTGAACTTTTTTCGAGAAATACCACACTCCACAAATGCGGCCTAGCAAGGACAGCGGCCTCATGGTTGGGAGAGGCGGCCGATCCCCCGCCCTGGGGACCGCTACAAGCAGCAGCTCACCTGGCGTCCCGCATCCCCCCCCACTGGACCGGTGGGGGTCATCCCGGTCCCCACTGGGGAATCCCACAAACTCACCACAAGGGACTGATCTGCTGGAGGGGAGACCGCGGCTCGGGCCCAAAATGGCCACCAAGCAGCAATCTCTGCAGTTTCAAGCAAGCCATGAGATCCAGACCTGGATCCAGACCTGGAGAGAGCACTTTGAAGCCCGCTTTGACCGAATCTGCCAGGAATTCTGGAAGCGCATGGAGCATAAAGCCACCCATTCTGACCTACCTGGTATGAAGGTGAAGGAGGCTGAAGCGGCAATTCACCGATCCAGTGCCCACGCGGAGTTGCGCCCATCTTGCCGACGGGCCCGCCAGCGGACTCTCCCGACACCGAACCGAAAAGCAGCATGCCAACACCGACCACTCACCTTACAACCTTGCCGCAGCTTCTATGCACGACGCTCAGATGGGAGTCGACTACATACTCGCGGACCCCTCCGCCGGAGAAAAAACACATGGCAACACAGATTCGGAGCACAGAGAAGGCCCAGAGACCAAGTCCCAGCAACTGTCGGCGCTGAACAAGAGCACACAAGCGCTTGGGACTGGTACGGCGCTCACCTGCAGAGAGGTGGTCTTATGATCCCCAGGGGTGTCAGTCTGCCATCAATAGGCATAGGTTAAGCAAGTAGAGGCACTTAATCCCCACTTGCCGCATGGAGATGAGCAATAACCACCACTGGCTCACCTTTCCACTGCATCCTCTCCGGTGGAGATATTACCCTAGGGTTCTACTGTTTTATTACACTTTCCCCCTTAGCAGTCACATCAGTAATACAACCAGCTCAGGAATACACCCAATTGCAGTGGAAATTGTGCTTTAATCTTTATTTCCCCTTCTCATTTTAACTCTGATAAGTACAAATGCCAGTCTAGCTAATTTAGCAAGTCACACACTGCTCAGAACTAGCTACTACCATGTCTAGCAATTATATTTGTATGGGTTTTTTTTGTTTGTTTTTTTTCTTTCGTGGAATTGTGCTTTAAATCTTTATTTCCTTGTTATTTTAATTCCACTATGTACATATGCCGGTCAAGCTAATCTAGCATCACCTATTGCTCATATCCAGCTATTGCCATGCCTAGCAACTACGTTAGTGTGTAAATATGCTATATCCCAATACTACGCCCTTGAGTACCTAGTGGTCCCCAAACTTTTGAGTTACTCATAGTTTAGCATGTCACATAACTATCTCCTCGTTGACAAAGTTAATGTCAGCCTACACTACTTTCGATCACGCTTAATGTCTGACTATTCTCTGACATTACCTGTATTAACCTGTTAGTTACATAAAAATGTGCAATTCTCTTATATGCCACAGATTAATGCAATGTGAAATGCCTTTACTTGTTACCGTGGCAAAATATGCATGTCTGTCAAACTTATGCACACTAAAAATAAAGAATAAAAAAAAAAATAAAAAAAAACATTTAGGTTCCCTCTGCCCCCTCCCCTTGCCACCCTTAAATAGTGTTAATTTCACCTTTATTCGCCAGCGCTGGCTACGCCACCCCTTTGCAGAGATCATCAAAATGGACATTCTCAGCCAATCAAATGCTTTCCCATAGAAAAGCATTGGGAGGATAATTTGCACACACACACACAACAAAATGCTGTGCTGCACCAATCAGCGTCTCCTCATTGAAGTAAATCAAGGCATCTCTATAGGGAGTGTGGAGATGCTGACCCAGGAAGAACCTCTAGGTGCCATCTGCGTGACTGTAACTAGTGATGTTACAAGTCAGTAATGTAAACACTGCCTTTACTCTGAAAAGGCAGTATTTACATGAAAATGCCTGCAGAAACAGACTATAGACACCAGAACCACTACTAGGGGTGCACTGAAATTTCGGTAGCCGAAACCGGCTCATATCTGCCGAAAATCGGACATTGTGATTTCTCACCCAGTAGCTCACCATGCAGCCCTGGTACCACTGCAAATGTCCTGTGCTGTATCCTATCCGGGAGCGAGCTGTTACTTACCTTTACAGCCGCTCCGTGCAGCTCCCACTGTAAGTCTCGTGAGACCCGCGGCAGTCAGAGCGTTGCCATGGGTTACCATGGCAACGCTCCGCGCGGCACGCTGACTGCAAGACTTACAGTGGGAGCTGCACGGAGCTGACAGGAGCTGCACGGAGCGGCTGTAAAGGTAAGTAACAGCTGGCTCCGGCCCCCCCACTGCACAGCCCATCCACTGGACCACCAGGGAATGTTACAGCCCCCCTCCCTGACCAGGCAACAAGCATGGAGAGGGGACAAAAAAAAACCCAAATATTAAAATAATAATAATATTAAAATAATTATAGTAAAATTATATAATTTTTTTTTCAAATAATACAGATGTCCTCCCCCCACCCAGTTTACACACACACTACACACTGCATTATATACACACACACTGCATTATATACACACAATGTGTGTGTATATAATTATATCACAATGTGTGTGTATATAATGCAGAGGGTGTATTTAATGCAGTGTGTGTGTGTATAATGCAGAGTGTGTGTGTTTGTATATATGATGCAGAGTGTGTGTGTATATATAATGCAGAGTGTGTGTGTGTGTGTGTGTATATAATGCAGAGTGTGTGTGTATATAATGCAGTGTGTGTGTGTATAACGCACACACTCTGCATTATATACACACACTGCATTCATTATATGCACACACACTGCATTCACACAAACACACACACTCTGCATTCATTATATACAAAACACACACTCTGCATTATATAGACACACACACACACACACACGCACACTCTGCATTCATTATATACACACACACTACACACAAACTGCATTCATTATATACACACAGACAAACACACATACACTACATTCATTATATAAACACACCCGAAATAAATATTAAATTAATGTAATTTTATTGGGATCTAATTTTATTTAGAAATGTACCAGTAGCTGCTGCATTAATGTGCTTACAAATGCTGTTGTGGCAGAGTAAGCTGCTTTGTTCATTCGGGCACTCAAAAATAAAAAATTTAAAAAAAGAATTTTTTCAAATAAATTGGAAATATGTTTGTTTATTGGTATGGTATTCAATTATTAGTATCAACTATATATATATATTATTCTTCAGTCATATATAGCAAACAGGTTTAACAGATTTTTATTTATATTGGTTTTTTTAAGCTATTTTCTGTTCAATTTTGGTGTGTTACTCTCAATAAGTGTGGTTATTTATTTTATTGGCTTGTAGTTTTTCATATTTGATTTATTAAATTCATTCAAAATAATTATATTAATAAAATCATTAAAAAAAAAAAGTATTTTAAAAGTATTTGGGCAAAAAGGCAGTTTCGGTTTCGGTTTTCAGTCAAGGGCATCCTGAATTTTCGTTTCAGTTTCATTTCGGTGCACCCCTAACCACTACATTTCTTCTGTATTTGTTCTGGTGACTATAGTGTCCCTTTAACTCTGCTATAGTCACAACGTGGCTATATCAGCCTGAATTTTGCAATTTGCTTTTCAATAAACTACAAGTTGTTGCTTAGTGAACAAAAAAAAAAAAAAGATAAATCGTTTTGAATACAAAGTAAATTTCAGAGTTTTGGCCACAATAGCCAAATTGGAAAAAGTCAGCTCTTTTTTAGTAGTTTGACCATTTACTTTAAGTTTCAGACAAATCATATCAGGGAGCAGGGAACATATCAACATGTTAATACAAGAAAATATTGCCAAGTTTTGGGTAGATTGGGTAGTCCTGTCAATCTTATAACTTGATTTCCTTTATTTATTTACATCTATTTTAGGGTATGTACATGGGTGTCCGCAGGGGGGTAAGGGAACTTTGAACCTTCTCATCTCCCCAGGTAAAAAAAAATATCAGTGTTAATGTGTTCACTTTTATTTACTGAGTGTCAGGAAGCACAGAGGGCCGCTGGGTAGGAGTGCCGCTGACTGGCTACACCGTTCAGCCGGCACTCTAAGCCAATCAGTAGCTCCCCACTCATAAAAACTTAAAACATTTTATGAATCGGGAACTAACGATTGACTTAGAGCGTCAGCTGACCACTCTAGCCAATCAGTGGCACCCATGCCCAGGGGCGGGCTGGGCCGGGGGGCAGGGAGGCAATTGCCCCCCAGGCCGCCCTAAATTCTTGTAAGACCGGCCGCGGCGGGCCAGCCCTTTAAATACTGCAGCCGCCTGAGCGCTCTGTTAAGAGCCTCAGGCGGCTGCAGCTTCTCCCCTCCCCTGTAGCGTGGCCGAGCTGCACTCTGGTCCGCGGTGGCCGGCCGGAGTGATAGGA